TCAAATTAATATTAAAATTTATTTAATCAATGTTTTGGAGTACTAAATTATATCAATTTTTTGAGTACTAAATCAAATTTTATTTTATTTTACTAAATTTTTAATTTTTTTGGTACTAAATTTGGAGAAGGACAAATGTAAAAATAAAAAAGTTTTTTATGATAAAATTATCAATTTTCGTTTGCAACATTGACGAAAAGGAGACAGAAGGGGTCTTCGTGCAATGAATAACAAACCTCAGGGGATTTTCGTGTTATTTATAAAATATCATGAGGTGTTCGTGTAATATTTCAAAAACTCAGGGAATATCCATGATTTTTAGTTTTTTTCCCTATTTTTTAATTAAACATTAATATATTATTATTTTACCTTAAAAACTCAAATTATTGTATTTTTAATAAAAGCAATTATTGGTTATAAGGGTCTGTTGGTAACAAAAAAAAATGTGTGAGTGTATTTTTGTGTATATTTACTTGTGGAGAATTGAACATTTAGTGATTAAATTTATAATTATATTATGTAATTTGGGGTGGAATGGTGATAATGATGATAAATTCATGAGTTTATAAATGAGCAAAATTTGGTTGATTTTATTTACCATTTAAAGATTGTGAATTTAATTGTATTCTGTTAATTTTTTTTTTGCTTGAGGTATTTATTACATGGAGATAGAGTGGATTAGAAATATGGTAGTTGAGTTGATAATTATATTGTGTTATTGAATGAAGTGGTAGTAGAGGTGATAATTCGTGAGTCTTATAAATGAGTAAAATTTTATTTATTTAATTTATTACTTAAAGATTGTAAATTTTAATGGATTATGTTAGTATTTTTTTTTCATATGTATTTATATATATGACGTTATTTTGGAGATTATTTATATATTTTTATAACAGTTTCATTAATATGAAGGATATAATCGATAATATATTTTGAGCCATTTTAAAAAAAGAATTTGTATGAATATTTTTAGGTCATTTCTTTTGAATTTAGACAATTGTTTAAAAAAAATTATTTGTTGTATAGTGCCTTCAGGCACGGGTAATGACCAGTATATATAATAAAGTAGCCAAATTTATTTATCTTTAGCTTTTTGTAGCTCAGATCTCTTGACGATTATTAATCCGACGGTCCCCGTGCCAATATTTTTTAAGACTCCTATATCTTATTTAACTCTCTTTCTCTCTCTATCTCATCTATACTAATAAAACCGAGGTGATTTCAAGCTTCCCAAATTTGAAAATCAATCTTCTCAATTAATTAATTATTTTAATTAATAATTAGTGAATTTTAATTAATAATTTTTTTTTGGTATTATAAAGTATATTTAGGCATGACAACTAACTAGGAGGCATAATATATTAATTTTACAGGTTATTTGGCTTCTACGAGATGAGTGAATGTATTTAATTATTAATATTAGCCTCAGTTTAGTGTTAGTTTAGTTTATAATGTGTATCTTATTCATTTTATATTAGATGTTTTGGATTATTAAATTACAGCAATTGATAAACAATGGTAATAGCAATATTAACGTAATGTGACAAAATTATTGATTTAAGGTAGTGTTTATTTACAGAAAAGTTTGATTATGAGTTGTACACACAAGTTGATATTGTCAATTAGATCATGTTTTCAAGGAGAAGTCTATCGAATTTTTTTTAAAAATTAAAGTTAGTTTATATTAACTACTGAGATATTATGTGTTAAACCAATTATTTTGGTTTGATATTCCCGTATATAGTGATAACTATATGTAATATATTGTTGGTAGTAGTATTGATGAACAGTTAGTTTTATGTGTTACACCAATTATTTTGATTTGATATGCCTTTTAATTAATCACAATTTTTTTTGTTACTCTGTGCCTTCAGGCACGAGCAATTACTAGTAGATAAATAAGATATATCTCAACACAAATAATTAACTTTCCATCCACTTTCCTTTTGATTTTAAAGGGGTTGATTTTGGTGAGTTGGAAGGAAAGTTAATTCATCCCCTTTTTTATCCTTTCTATTTTCCTTCATTACTAAGCATGATGTTTTATTTATCTCTCCAACTTTTCATTATTCAAACTTTTCATCCTTCTATTTTTTCATCATACCAAACGGAGCATAATTGTCTAAATTATTCTTAATTATTTTAACTTAGTTTAAAGAATTTTTTTTTTTTTTATTATTCAAATTTTTAAAAAATTGATTCCTAACTTAATTCAGAGACAAGAATCGACTCGAATCCTAATCTCAAGACCAAATTATGTGGTTAGTCTAATTTGTACAAAGTTTTTTTAAAATTATTAACTAATTGAAAATTTTAAGAAAAATAAGGGTAAAATGAGAAGTTTATTATTGAACACAACTTTCATCATTTTTCTTGTGTTTTTTTGTAAGAAAAAAAGTTAGTTAGATGTGAGAAAATTTAAACATGGAAGAAAATTATTTTTTCTATCATTTTTTATTTCTTGCTAAACAAACACATGAAAATTTTTAAATTTTTTCTTTCTTACATTTCTAGCATTATCTTGCAAAACAAACGGACCCTTATATTTCCTACTGTTAGAATGTAAGTTATATGATTATTCGTTGGATTAAAGTTTTTTGGTCTCTTGTTGTATTTTGTGTAATGCTTTATTGTATGGATTTTTGTACGCTATTATTGTCATATTACTTAATTTTAAGTAACCTATATGAGAATTTTGTACTAAATTTTAGGATAAATTGTACTAATGGTTCCTGGGGTTTATATGTCCCCGCACTTTGATCGTTAAAATTTTAATTTCGTTAATTTCAGTCCGAAAGTTCAAACATTGAGCTACTATAGTCTTTAGCACTAATTGCCCATTAAAAAAAAGACACAAAAAATACCGTGTGCATGTAACAAGAGATATTTTTGGTATTTTACAACAATTTATGTGTCCAAACACAATTATCCTTTATATATATATATATATATATATATATTAAACGTCAATTCAACATTAGTTTCTCTCTCACACACGCAGACAATGTTCTTCTCTCTCTCTGTCTCGTGCGTCTTCGACACCCCAACCCAACACATTCATCCCTCAAAAACCCTAGCGCACACACACATCACAAAACCACAAATAGATACCCACATGGATGCACAACATGATTTTTTGAGACCTCCATGGGTAATCAATCACCCTAGAATTTCTTATCAATCAAACCCCACAATTTGAATCAATGAAGAATTAAGATTGAATTGGATATTAGACTTTGAAGTTAATTACTCTCTTTTTTGTATGGGACTTTAGGCGGCTCAGCAGCCCCTAAACTGACACGTGGATTGCCATAGTTGTTACATAACTCAAAAGGCGCCCAGAAGTGGCGCCGAAAAGTAATGGTCCAGCGAACCCGAGTACACGGACTGACATCAACATTTAAGAAGATGTGATAGATTATTTATGAGGACTTGAGTGACTGTGACAAGGCCATTATTGAGCCTCTGCATCCTTGAGACCTAAACCAACAGTCATAATTACAGAGCATTAATGGTCGTTAGCCAACCATATGTCCTCGGGAGTAAGTGTCAGACGTCAATCAAATGGACTTGAATGACTAGGGATAGGGTTATAAATGCTCGGCATGCCCTGAGCAGTCATCCTATCGCCCAAGTGAACTAGTCACGAGAATCTGAGTGGAGAACACTCATTACGCATGGATAAGAGTGCAAATCATTAAATGTTGAGATGAGACTCCAAACTCTTCTGAACAAAAAAAAAGACTTCAAACCCTTGTACTTATTATTAATCTAGATATAAATACTCCTCAAAAATATGAACAAAGGTATGCAAAACAAAACTGAGAAAGAGATATACCGTACAAAAACCTTCAAACTTATACTGACTTAAGTTTCGGAGAAGATAAGTCAGGTGTTAACCCGGCCCTTTTTTTAACCTTTTAGTTATTTTAGATTCATGATCAAGAGGATCGCTACCTCTATTCATTATAGGAAAACTCCCGTGGACTTTCCAATTCTCCGGTTTACTTTCTTGAATCTTGACATTAGCCTTTGAAAATTGGTGGAAAATCGAGATTTTGTGTTTGTATTGTTGTGGTGGAGGTGATACTCATGGGGTTTGGGTGTGTGGATGAAGCTTTGGACTTACAGGTAACAAAAGAAAAGACAAATGTATTACGATTGGGCGATGGTTTTGAGTTCAGAAAGAGATAGGATTCGAATTGTGCACCTATATTGATATGCAAAGTGGTCAGTGTCACACTTAAAGACGTATTTTTTGAAAATGTCACGGGGACAAATAGAAACTTAAAGAACCAAAACGAAATACACTAAAAAAATTTAGGTTCACAACCACCAAACTAGAAGGAACGCCGGTAAATACATTGCAAATTAAAAGGATCAAAATGATCTCTTAAGTGTGGCCAAGTGAGACATCTTCGTTAGTCAAACTTAATTACTATTTTGGATTAAACGAAACTTACACAAATTAAAATTTGAATTAATTAGAGGTTCTCAAAATATAAAATGTCTTATTTTTGTCTCCAATATTTTAATTCTATCATTTTAATTCCTGAAGTAGTGAATATATTTTTATATGGTCTCTCAAGCAGACAATATCTAAATTACTAATATTTTTATATCATAAACTTGTTACGTGATACCTAAATATGGATAAAAAATAATTTGGAGAGTTCTTGACCAAAATTTGTATAATTCTTGACAAAAAAATGTATAATATGATTAGTTGTTGATTAAAATTTGGATAACTCGTGACCAAAATTATGTAATTTGGATAATTCTTTGATAAAAATTTGGATAAAAATTTAATCAAGAGTTTATTCAAATTATTTTTTCGTCTAAATTTAAGTATTACGTAGCAAGTTTATAACAAAAAATTATTAGCAATTTGAGCAATATCTATTTGAAGGATCGCATAGAAGTATATCCAATATTTCGTGGATTAAAAGGACATAATTAAATATTAGAAACCAAAATGTAACAAATTTATACATTAGGAACCTCAATACAATTAATCCTTAAAATTTTAAGAAACTAAAATAACACAAGTAAAAAAATAAAAATCAAATATAATGACAAACAGAAAAGGGTACAACACATGTACTTCTTAAGATCACTCGTTCTAGTACTAAAAACGAAGTTTAGGATTTGGTGCATTAGTGTTGATATCATTGCATTCATGTAAGAACACTTTAAAGCAACACAGAGAAGAACAATCTAAACAACAAATCCACCATTGACACGAATGATCTGCCCATTGACCCACTCACCAGCATCACTAGCCAAAAATCCAACGACCTGAGCAATATCCTCCGGCTCCCCCAATCTCCCCAGAGGACAAGCCTCCACCAACCTCTTAACCATCTCCTCCGTCTTGCCGGCGAAGAACAGCTCCGTCGCCACCGGCCCCGGAGCAACACAATTCGCCGTAATCCCAGTACCCTTCAACTCTTTTGCTACAATCTTCACCATCGTCTCCACCGCCGCTTTCGAGGCTGCGTAAGCCCCATACCCAGGTAACAATGACCCAACAACCGATGTTGTTATCAGAATAATCCTTCCTCCGCCGCCGTGCGCCACCCGATTCGCCGCCTCTCTGCAGCACAGGAACGCTCCTCTGGTGTTGACGGAGAAGGTACTGTCCCAATCTTCAACGGCGGTGTTGGCTATTGATGGGTATTTGGGATCGAGAACTCCGGCACAATTCACGAGGATATGAACTTGGGATTTAAATTCTTCCTCGGCTCGATCGAATAGGGACTTGACGTGATCTGGGTCGGAGACATTAGCTTGAATGGCGATTGCTACGGGATGAGAAGAGGCCTCGCCGGAGGAGTTGAGCTCCGATGCTAAGAGATCAGCTTGGGTGGAGTTGGAAGCATAATTGATCACAATTCTTGCACCAAGTGACCTGAGGTGGACGGCAATAGCACGGCCGATTCCCCGGGAACCGCCGGTGACTATCGCCACCTTGCCGGCGAGTGAAAGGGAAGCGGATGGGTGGTCCTTGGTGGTTTCCCCTGCCATAGTGGAGATTTAGTGAGCAACAGTATGATGAAAAAGAGGGCTTTTTTTTTTTAGTGTGAAGGTTTTATGACAGTATCTTATATTTATAAGGATAGAGCTATGGTTTTTTTTTTGCCATTAAAAAGGGATGAGAAAGTAACCTCTCGTCGAGTCATCGTGACAAAGATGTCTAATTTAAATTATAATTATTAATTTAAAAGGATAGTCCGTCGCTACGGTACCATTAAAATCAAATAAAATATCATGTTATTCATCTGAATTAAACTATATTTAATAATCATATAAGAGTTAAAGACAACACTAAACATGTACGATTTACTACTAGATCAACATTTCGCGTGGTTAAAAATGAAATATTTTCATAATGAAATTAAATTATAATGATAGATTTTGCTTTATTTGATTTATAGCTGATTAAAAAATAATATAATATATAAAAATTGGCACTTATCATACTTTTATTGAATAAAAAAATGGGTTAAATCAATCCAATTTTTTAGAGGAAGTGTACATGAGGATTATGGGGGAGGTACAGTTGTTTGGAATATTAAAATTTCGGACAATGAACCTTTTGTGATGGGTGGGATGACAGTGTAATTATTGGGAAGTGAAATGTCAAAAGAATCCTTGATTGCCTGAAATGAGGTAGCAAACAAGGGGTCTGAGAGGGGCAATATTGTCTTGGCAGATGGAATGCTGAGGTCAGTGATTACGTTGAAAAAGCAAAGTCCAATTAACGTTCCATTAAAAAAGTCAAGTTTGATTGCATAAACAACAAAAGCGAGGAAAAATTTTGTGCGGGCTTGATCCTGCATGATATATATATATAATTGGGAACAGATCTCTCCCTTGGTGAACTTTGGGTGAGCCGATTGAGTGGCCAAACACACTGCTCGAAACAGCTTACGATCCTGGGAAAGGAGGAACGATCCCGTACGTGCGAAAGGTATTTCCTGGGATAAAAGAGAACAAGTTAGAAGGGCGCCGGAGTGTTTTCCGGCGTATCCCCTCCGACGGTCTAGTCAGTCTTTGAATGAGAGAGAGGAAGGAGAAAACACTGAGAAGGATATTTCGTAGTAGGGAGTTTTTGATTGCATACCCGCTTTGTCTTTTGGGAGGGGTATTTATACCTTAGAAGATCATGATTGCTGTCAGTGTGGTCAGTAGGTGATCATCAGGCACAGGTAGCGTGTGTAATCATTTGATGAGGAATGTCTTCTCTAATTGACTGCTCGGGGTCCTGAGCAATTAATGGTGAGTTGTCGGGACGCCGACGGTACAATATGCTCCTTTCGGGAAGGATGCAATAAATGCTCTGTAATAGGAGCATTTATTACCTTTCATATCCGAACCTTACCGCATTAAATGCGGTCTCGTCAACAGAAGGGTGTAATTAATTGTTTGTTTTCCCAAGTCGCGTGCCAGCAGCGGCATGCGGTTTGTCTGCTTCGGATGTGACATTATTTGCCACACGTCCATCCCTTATTGGCTGTTACGTCGGTATTCCAGCACGTTCTGACATTACTTGTGTAAGAAGAGCTCATGATGACTAGTCCATACTGGCATAGGCTGATGCCCAGTTTTGTCAGTAGCTTTATCCGGGAGTAGGGGAAGCGTCCAGGATGGAGTGACCCTCGGTGCCGAGGGAAGGCTCACCTCGGGGGACCAAGGGGTGGCGTGTTCCCGAGGTACATGGTGACCGAGGACACATGTCATTGTATACTGTACCGAATATGTGATCCTATATGAGAGGTACCTCGGGGAGAGGAAGCTTTGCCGATGGTGCTTGAACCCGAGCAACATTGTTCTAGAAACCCCCGAGGACACGTGTCTTCATCGTAGGCTTTTTCAGAAGAGTCCCATCAACTGCCCCCCAGCCTTCGATCTTCTGACGCCGAGGACACGCGTTGTCAGGAGACGAAGGGTTTTCCAACTGCCATCCGTCCTTCATTATGGCCTCGAGCAGCTTTCCCCGTCTTGGGATGTCGTGCGCATTAAATGCGCCGTTTTGGTTCTCCCGCCTAATGATGACGGTTTCCCCCCTATATAAAGGGGGTTCTTCTCCGGTTTCCATTTTTTTTTTTTTTTTTTTTTTTTTTTGCCTTGGGGACAGTAGTCCTTGCACTCTGTCCCCAGAGCCATGCCGTTGCAGGAGGCTTGCTCCTGTATGTACTTCGGGGACGAGAGTACTTGAACTCTGTCCCCAGGGCCATACCCTTGCAGGAGGCTTGCTCCTGTATGTACTTCGGGGACGAGAGTACTTGAACTCTGTCCCCAGGGCCATACCCTTGCAGGAGGCTTGCTCCTGTATGTACTTTGGGGACGAGAGTCCTTGAACTCTGTCCCCAGGGCCATACCCTTGCAGGAGGCTTGCTCCTGTGTGTACTTTGGGGACGAGAGTCCTTGAACTCTGTCCCCAGGGCCATACCCTTGCAGGAGGCTTGCTCCTGTGTGTACTTCGGGGACGAGAGTACTTGAACTCTGTCCCCAGGGCCATACCCTTGCAGGAGGCTTGCTCCTGTATGTACTTCGGGGACGAGAGTCCTTGAACTCTGTCCCCAGGGCCATACCCTTGCAGGAGGCTTGCTCCTGTGTGTACTTCGGGGACGAGAGTCCTTGAACTCTGTCCCCAGGGCCATACCCTTGCAGGAGGCTTGCTCCTGTGTGTACTTCGGGGACGAGAGTCCTTGAACTCTGTCCCCAGGGCCATACCCTTGCAGGAGGCTTGCTCCTGTGTGTACTTCGGGGACGAGAGTCCTTGAACTCTGTCCCCAGGGCCATACCCTTGCAGGAGGCTTGCTCCTGTATGTACTTCGGGGACGAGAGTCCTTGAACTCTGTCCCCAGGGCCATACCCTTTGTCTTTTGTTTGGCGAGTCCTTTGAGAGAGAGTACTTCAAAAGTAAAACTTCTTCAAATTCATAACATTCCATGGTCGTATTACAGGTCTTCCACTCATGTCTTCTAATCCATACGACCCGGCGCCCCCGATTGATATTACTTTGTAAGGCCCTTCCCAGTTAGGTCCCATCTTTCCCTCTGTTGGATCCCGGGTATTGGCCGTTACCCTTCTGAGGACCAGGTCGCCTATCCGGAATTCTTGAGTCTTGACCCTCTTGTTGTATAGCTGGGAGATCTTCTCTTGATACTTGGTTATCTTCAAGGCGGTTTCCTCCCTTCTTTCTTCCAGTAGGTCCAGATCCAATCCCAGTTGATGATCATTCCCCCCTTCATCGAAAGCTTGGGTCCTTATGGTCGGAAGCCCTACTTCGAGGGGTATGATTGCCTCCATCCCGTACGCCAGGGAGTAGGGGGTTTCGCCCGTTGATGACCGAGGGGTTGTCCTGTATACCCATAAAATGTTTAACAGCTCTGTCGCCCACTTTCCCTTGGCTCTCTCCAGCCTCTTCTTGATTCCATTGATAATTGTCTTGTTGGTGGCCTCCGCCTGCCCATTGGCTTGAGGGTATGCAGGGGTGGAGTAGAAGTTACGGATCCCGAGATGTTCACAGAGAGACTTAAAGCGCCCGCCGATGAACTGGGTCCCGTTATCCGATACCAGTGCGCGAGGAATGCCAAATCTGACGACTATGTTCTCCCAGACGAACTTTTTGGCGTCTATGTCTCGGATGTGACTTAACGGCTCCGCCTCCACCCACTTGGTGAAGTAATTTGTGGCTACGATGAGGAACTTTTTATTTCCCGGAGCTTTAGGCAGAGGTCCAACCAAATCAAGCCCCCATTGGGCGAATGGCCAAGGGCTGGTGAGGGGGTGTAAGTCCCCCGCAGGTTGCCTGATCGCAGGGGAGAACCTCTGGCACTGGTCGCATTTTTGGACATATGCCCTCGCGTCCCTTTGCATCCGCGGCCACCAATATCCTTGAGACATAATGCGGTGTGCCATTGATCGTCCTCCAGAGTGCCCCCCACATATTCCTTCATGCACTTCGTATAGGAGGTCTTGCACTTGATCTTCTTGGACGCATAGCAAGTAAGGTCCTGAGAAAGACCTCCGGTAAAGCTTTTGATCCGAAGAGACCCAAAATCTTGGAGCTTTCATCCTTATCTTTCTAGCTTCCCTTGGACACTCCGGGAGATCTCCCGTTGTTAGGAATTTGACAAAGGGGTCGATCCAACTGAGCTGCTGGGGCGCGTCCTGGATGACCATCGCCTCGAGAGTATGATCAATGCAGGATGTGGGAAGATATTCAATGGTAATCCTGCGCGACTGGGAGGAGTCCACTGCCGAGGCTAGACAAGCCAGGGCGTCGGCATGTGTGTTCTTGTCGCGGGACACCTGCTTGATTTCAAATCGGTCGAACCTTTGGATAACGGTCGTTGCCTGGTGATGGTACGCCTTCATCCTAGGGTCCCTCGTTTCGAATTCCCCATTGACTTGATTGACCACCAGCATGGAATCGCAATGCACGATCAAATTGGTAACTCCAGTCGCCTCAGCTAACCGAAGTCCTGAGATGAGTGCCTCATATTCCGCTTCATTGTTCGATGCTTTGAACCCCAACCGGATGGCCTGCTCTGCAATAATCCCTTCTGGAGAGGTCAGCAAGACACCGATTCCGGACCCCTTACTGTTCGATGAACCATCCACACATAAAAGCCATGGCGATCCTTCAACATTTGTTGGAGATGCTAAGTTGGGAGGAGGCGATCCTTCTAGAACAGGATTCTCCCCCGAAAACTCGGCTATGAAGTCCGCCAGTATTTGTCCCTTTATTGCAGTTCGGGGTTTGAAATGAATGTCGTGCTCCCCCAACTCTACAGCCCATTTGGAGATCCTTCCGGAGAGTTCAGCTTTCCTCAAAATTGCCTTCAAGGGCTGATCAGTTAGGACAGTGATTGGGTGCGCCTGGAAGTAATGGCGCAGTTTCCTTGCAGTGGTGACCAAGGACAGGGCCAGTTTTTCTAGGGGCAGATATCTTGTCTCTGCATCCAGGAGCGCCTTGCTGATGTAGTAAATCGGCTTCTGTCGGTGCTCATGCTCACGGATAAGTACTCCGCTTACTGCAAATTCTGAAACTGCCAGGTATAGGAACAGCA